AAACAGTGGCCAGAAACTGAGCTGCTGCTCCTGGGCTTTAGGCATTTTTGGTTTTGATTTTGATAAGGCGTTCCAAAATAAGAACCCTGTGCAGCAAATTCAGTTTTCTGTCCTGAAGTCTGTGCCCGGTTTCAGACTCTACTGATTCAAATAATGTTGTCTTTTTAATGGCTTTATCCAGACTGTTGGCCCAGATGTTGGCATACCTATACAAGACTGAAAAGATTAGAATGGAGTCCGGGCATGACCCTGAATACTGTGAAAAAGGGTGAGGCAGGGGAGGGGAAAAGGCACTGTTCCAGAGCTAGGTACGTGGTTCCTCAGGCAACCTGTATTGACACCAGCTGTGTGAAATGCTTTGACAGTAATAGGTCTGGAATGCACTTGTGTGGAGTTGCTTCTTGGAAGATTTCTTTGGTGTAAGGTTGACTTGCTTTTTGCAGGGACTTTCACTGAAGATGTGATTGTTAGAGATTTGATGTGTAACATGTTTCAAGGTACCTTGTTGGACAAATCAGGACCTACCTCTGGGCAAAGCGCTCTTTATTCTCAAAAACATCTGCTGTTTGAACTGAAGGTCTTCACCCTGTTTCTGCATATCTGTTGTACCTATTGATGGCCACTAAACAAGTTCCCCCCCCCTCCCTTTTTTTAAAGCACTTAAGCATGAACTTAAGTAAGTTGCCTTAACTGGATGCTAGCTAAGAACGTGAGGTATATACTTCCAATCTTGATGGCTTCTCAGAAGCAGGTAACTCTAGATTTTGGTGGTGAACTCTTCTAACTTTCTTGTGACTTAACAATTCTGTTTTTATGCAAAACTGTATGGGAAGAGTACTTATACATTGGTTTGCTGCTAGATTAAACTTAAGGGAGTTATGAATGGATATATTATAACATGAAGGTTTAATTATGACACTTGAAATATTTAAATACTGTATTTGGTTAAATAAGGTAACGTTCTTCAAGCACATCATCCTTATCTTGATATCATGTGCTGTATTGCAATAATATGCTTACGTACTTAAAATTCTGCATGTATGTCAATCAGAAAGATAGGATAGTGTTAGAGTACAGTTGTATTTGTTTTAATATGAAAACCTGGAGGTTTGATACTAAAAGGTACAGTGTTTTTCATACATTTGCACTAGTTAACATTGTAACAATTTAAAATTAGTATTAGCTGTTACAAAAACTGTTGAAGGCAAAGATTCTGCATTACTTGTCTCTTATTCTGGCTCTGCACACTGTTATACATTTATCTTTGATAACAAGTGATGGTTGTGTGTAGAGCTAAAAGATGTTTTCATCCCGTCTCTAGTTTAGCATGTGGAAATTGTGTAAGTGATTTGTGTGTGCGTGTGAAAACTACCTCTGAAGATTTATCAGTGAAAGTCTACTAGTACAATTCCTAGTAAATTTAGTGAGATTAGAATCAATAAATCCTCTTTTTGGCTGTAAGCAAGGTAACTATGGATTGGTGTAGTGAAGAAGATATGTACTGAAACTGTCTGTTAAGAAGTGAGTGCACTAATGAAATGAACTGTTTTGAAAAATACTTAGGAGCTAAATATATAAATAAATATAAGGTTAACTATAAATAAATATTTAGTAGCTAAATAAATATTTAGGAGCTAATCTCTTTCAAAAATCTTTCTTTTCAAATATCTCAAACCTTGTAATCTGATTCTGTTGATTTTTTTACTTCAAATAGAATGATGCTATTGATGTTAACAGATCAGTTGTGACTTCCATCACAGGTAACTACCTTATTTTGTCCACACTTCTGTGTGGACAGAAGTAGTAGTATTTGATTGCTCCATAAATACAAAGGCATTGGTTCTTGCATTAAAATGTGCATTAAAACTTGTGTGGAATGGCTTGCCAAAAGAAGGCCTCTAGGTCTTATTTTAAGATGATAGCTTGCAATAAAACTTGCCCCTAAATTGTGAAGTCTTAATTGTGAATGAATCATGTAAGCAAGATTATTTGAGTTTATGGTTGTCTTGTGTAGGGGGAAAGAAAATGATCTATTGAATCTATTTCTGCAAGACTGAGTGTTCTTAAATGTTTAAGCATATAGAGTACCTTCATATTCTCTGCCTTTCCGGGTCTCTGTTCAGCTCTCTCTTGAGCTCTCTCTTGTTGCTGTGATGACAAATAAAGTTCTCTACCCTTTTCTGCATCTGTTATGGAGCACGTTCACCTCACCACATAGGATGCTGGGGAAACCAAGATGTAATAGCCAAAATACATAATCTTCCACTGTGAAATCTCTCTGTCTTCCTAAGTGGAGAAACTTAACCTAGTTTCAGAATTTTTTCTTCAGTGTTTACAAATTATTCCTTATGCTTGATTTCTCCAGACCCCTGAGACTTGTAAATGAGCTTGTTGCTTGTGTTTGAATGAAAGTGGTGGTTATTTTTTTTCTTCATTTTTTTTTTCTTCTTCAAAATAAAGCCACCTCTTGGGGCGGGGGGGAACCCCACCACAAATGTCAGTTTCTGACTTTTTGTGTTTGGCTTTGGAAAAAAAATTGGATCCTAAAGGGCAAAAATGCATGTAGAGAAGTTGCCTGTTATTGACATGTGTTTTAATAAAAGAAAAAAAATTATTTCATTTAGTATGAAGTCTGAAATGCAACAGACTTCTCACATTTGTCAGTGTTCTTGTTTTGGGTCTGGCTTCCAGCTTGAGAGAAGAAAGAGAGGAAGGATGAGTGAAGAGATATCAGTTAATAAGGTATCCAACTTGTTGAAAACTGAGTATTTTCATTCTGCTGAAACATGTTTCAATATTGGGCTGCTTTTCCCGCTTGTGTTACAGTTAAGAGTTAAAGTTATTGTCCCCAGAGTGTTCAGGTTGCCTTTAAATAAAAGCTGCTTGCAGTGTTAAGAGGGTGGAGCACCTACATAGTTTGAAAAAGGGCTAATAAAGGTGATCAGAACACATCTCCATTTGTCTCTTGTGCATGTGCCAAAAAAGCCTGAATGAGAATTAATGAAAGAGAACATTAAGTTAAAGTTGTAAGATATCCATCTGAGGGAAGATTGTTTATCTTTTAAATGTGTGCATTAACCAACTTGAAGCTACTTTCTGCTGCTTACCTATTTTAGTGCAGGGTCATGAAAGGAAGTTTTATTTTGTGTGAGGGATTATGTTTTTAATTAAGTTTTAATTTAAGGTTTTAGGGCCAACAGAGTGGGAAAAGAAGCATGCTAGGACTATAATTAAAGCATAGATTTTTTTTTTAGGGTTTACTCGAGTACAAATTACAATTGCTATGGGAACCGTAGCTTTAGATCATTTACCTCTCGCATTTAAACCTGCAGCAGTCTTGCAAGAGGCTGTTCAGGAGTTATGAAAACATTGGCATTCTCATTTTTGATGTAGCTTGTTGCTGAAAGTAGGCTTGTCACCTGACAGTGGTTAATGTCTTATCCTTTGAGTCATTCCTCTTTTTAAGAGTTAACATAGCTAGCCTTAGTACTGGAGCTGGTTCTGAGATTGTGCTTATTTTCACAGAATTCTCTTGTAACCCCTTCAGGCCTAGGACAAAATACTACCTGATATCTTAAAAGCTCAGCTAGGAAGTTTGTAAGCATTCAGTCTGTGTTGACAAGGCGCAAAGAGTTTGAAAGAACCAAATCTGATTTATTTTTCTGAACTGTAAAACTATCCCAGATTGCAAGAGAGGAGAGAACTGCTGTATTGCTCTTGCAGGCACAGGGTGCATTTAGAAATGCATTATTAAGTGTGCTTCTGAACATGCAGCCCAGTAACTCATGATCCTGTGTGCCTGTCTAGTGGAATTTCCTGGACCTCACTGTTTATTGACTATTTAGTCCCCTGTCATTAAACTTGAGAGGAGAAGGTTATGATTGTTTTTTTCCATAGCTGGGAAGTTGTTGCATCCATACCTCCATTATTGTTTAGAAGGCAATGAATAGGTAGTTGTTAGATTCAAATATAATGCCTAATTAATGTTCTTATTTTTGTGGAAAGTTGTTTGCTTTACCTTGAGTTTATTCTGTCGTCAGTGAATAGTCTGGTCACTGAGGCAAAAGTAAATTGCAGGGCTTTAAAAATTGTTTTCCGATATGTTTTAATGATAAGGGCTCAGAATGCTTATTTGTCTTTCGAATGTCATGTACCAGTTGTGAAGTGAAACGGCAGAAAATTGAATCTTTCCTGAAACTTTTAAATTTGGAATGATGCCTGAGGCTGCAGACTGGGGGGTGGGGGAAGGGGTCTTGTTCTTGAAGTGCTTTCTCAGATTTGTAGAGGAGCCAGGGTAAGTGACTTCAGGAACTGTCATTCTCAAACAGTAGAACTTGAGGCCAGTGGAAGATAACCACTGAACTTGAACTGGGTTTCTGATCTGAATTCTGCCTTTTAGAAGGAATAGCTTAGGACTCCAGAAATACCTTTTATACTTGGGCACTGATCAGCAAATGCTGAAGTTCTCAAGTGCATCAAAACTGTCTTAGTTTTCATGTGGTGTGTATTAGCAACTGTTTTCCTACCTATGTTGCATGCAGCATAAATGTCTTGTCGAGGCTTTTAGTTCAGCCATTTTAATCCATCAGTTTCAGAGTGCTTATATGAAAACTATTTATAATAGTGAACTTTCAGTTGCTGACTCTGCATGAGTATTTCTGTATTTCACTGCAGCATGTTTTCATGTCTTCCTTGTCTATCTTCATGTGTTACTTGGAAAAGCTTTGAAATTTTCTCCGTGTTTTTTCCTGTATCTTAAAGATTTCTTTTGTTAATTCCCAGTCTAGTAAACGTTTTATTTTGTGAACCAAAGAGTAATCTTGCATTCTCTTTCCCTCATCCAAAATATATTTGCAAAACTAAGCAGGTTATGCATTATTTTTATTTTTCAGCTGTTCACTGATGGAATCACCAATAAACTTATTGGCTGCTACGTGGGTGACATAACGGATGATGTGGTTCTAGTCAGAATCTATGGAAATAAAACCGAGCTCTTAGTAGATCGAGATGAGGAGGTGAAGAGTTTCCGTGTGCTGCAGGCCCATGGCTGTGCACCTCAACTATACTGTACTTTCAATAATGGCCTGTGCTATGAGTTCATGCAGGGAGAAGCGCTGGATCCAGAACATGTGTGCAGTCCAGATATTTTCAGGTAAGGTTTTGATTGTGTTGAGTTCTGCGATGCATTTATGGCGTTCTGTCAGGCCCAGACAATCTCAAAGTTAGTATGAGAGTAGACTGAAATCAATTTACTGCAGGTTATAGGAGTATTTAATGCTCTTACTGTATGACAGTTCATTATCCTCTGATTTAGTTAATCATGGCGTTTCAGTTCTGAACATACGTAGTCTTCTGGGGAGGTAGCAAGGTGCATATTAGAATTGATTTTATTCTAAGACGTTTATTAACGCGTGTTACCATCGGGAGATTGATTTATTTAACGTGGTACATCAGCATAGGGGGCTGTATTTGATTCAAGTGAATCCTATCTCTTGGTTTCTAGTACACTGTTTTGTGTGAATAGGTTCAAAATAGTCTTCTATGGAGACCTGATTTTTTTTTAAGGTATCAGCAGTGAACAGAAAATATCTCAAGGTTTGGCGTTTCGTACATAAGCTGAAATGTATCTGATGCCTAAGAGCTGCAGCTAATTTGAGTCAACTCTTGTAAAGATATGCAAGTTGAAGAATAAATTGCAAATACAAGTCAAATATGCATGCTGTAACTGAACTAATGCGCTCTTCCTGCCACCAAGCTTTTTAGTAGTGCTGTTAAAGACCTTTGAGTCTTGTAGGAGGCTGTTCATTAGGCTTCCATACAGCTCTACTGGTCTTGTGCATATCCTCCTTGGATTCACCATTGTATATATTGTTGTCTTCTCTTGTTGCTGGGAGAAGATATGATAAGGACTCTCCCATCTGTTGCAAATGTAACATTAAATTAAACTTTATATTTTTTTTAGACTGATTGCCAGACAGCTTGCTAAAATCCATACTATTCATGCACACAATGGATGGATCCCTAAATCTAACCTCTGGCTGAAGATGGGGAAATACTTTTCTCTGATACCCACAGAATTTACAGATGAGGAACTAAATAAAAGGTAGATATTTCATTATCTATTTTTCTGACTGACTCTGACCCTTCCTTCTTTGTATCAGGGTAAGGGGTAGAAGAATATTTACAAAATAGTTTGAGTTATCACCTACAGTTGAAAGTATGTAAGACTTTGGGTCTTACTGTACTCCTAAGTAGCTTATAAATGCAAATGTGATGAAACTTTTAATTCACTTGGTGTATTGTGTGTATGTGTGTATATTTATATCTCCACATAGTGCATGTGTTGATTAGACACTTCATGGTACATGATGGTAGCTTTATTATTCATGAAGAACCAAGGCTCAGTGAAGGTGGTACTTTAGGTAGTTGTGTCTAACAGCTTAGAATCTCCAGTCTCCCCAAAGGCAAAGAGCCATTTGTCCTGGAATAAATACTGAAAGCATGCTGTTTGTTTTTTTGGGGTTGCAGGAGTACTTTCTTCCTTCTAACCTGCCTCTGTTAGCTGTTCTATGTTATTTGTTCAATTCATCATCTCAGTTTTTGGGTAAGAAAGTCTATATAAAAATAAAGCTAATGAAAGGTTGACTTGGTGATGGGATAAGCTTCCAGAGTGTGTTACAGAGGAGGAGGAAAAAGGAGTCTGCACAGTCAGATCTTTTCTGTTGTGGAATACAGATAATGGTTTCACTTGGCTTTGGGGATTTTGAACTTTTTTTGTCCCAGCAGCAGTGTTTAACCTGAATAAAGTTTCTGTGCTGTAATCTAAAGCTTGAGTCAAAGTCCTGTTTTTCTGGGACGAAGGGGAAATCAAAGTTTAAGCTATAATTTGGAAGTCTTTGTACAGTATCAAATTTCATACCTCTCAATGAGCAAATTCCAGCTTAAAACATTCTTAAAAATATCCTTAAAAATACTGATGCTATTGCCCTGTTTGCTACCTTTTAATTAAGGAATGCACTAGCAAAGTTTCATTATTTGATTTTCTGCTAGATAAAATTCTCAAGAAAACTGAAAAATTTGAGCAACTAGTTGAAAATCTGAAACATGAAATAGCTACCTGACTGTTTGCTGTACTAGAGAAAAAAAGATACTCTTGTATAGATGCATGTGGTATTTAATTACTGTTATGTATTCTATTTGAGGAAAATAACATAATGCTTTAAGCAGTAAGTGAATGAAAGTTACGCTACATCCCTTTTAATCTATAGTCCTTGAAAAAGTGCAGGATTGCACTCAGTCCTGCTTCTGAGTTTTGGACTGCTATTTTTTACAGCACAGACAATCTTCAGAGAATTGCTTTTGGATGGGGAGAAGGGAATAATTGTCGTAATTTGACTGAAGAGATGGCAAGGGGAGATAGTGCCCTACTTTGAGAGAAGGTATATTGAATTGTTGGAAATAAGAGGGTAGAGGATGCTAATAAAGTTATTTCACTGCAGCTGTTTGCTCTGGCACAATACTAAATATTAATGTCTTATACCTAAAAAGGTTTTTAAGAGACATTCCAAGTCCTCAAGTCCTTCAGGAAGAGATGGCCTGGATGAAGGAAAGACTGTCAAATTTAGGATCGCCAGTGGTACTCTGTCACAATGACCTCTTGTGTAAGAATATTATTTACAACAAGAAACGAGGTAGGTATTGAACGAAGCAGTAAGTATTGGTTTATTTTACTTTGTTCTATAGTTGTATTTGCTAAGTCGGTGATGTCACTTTACTGATGGCAACAGGTGAACTCATTTTGACATTTTAAAATTCAATGTAATGGTAGCAATATCTATGTAAATGATTATTTGCCTAATTAGCTAATTCTCATTCTATATGTTAGTACATAGGGAAAAATTTTGGAGTTCTTACTTTTTCTGTAATGAATTTGTTAATGCATAGCCAGCCTGTATGACTGAAGGCTTCAAAGTATTTTAGCAATTACTCAAAGTTTCTGGGGGGTGGGGAGGGAGGGGAGATCATGCAAGCACGGAGAATAACTTGATGATGCTCTCTCCTATTTATCTGTGTATTGTTCTGTTTTTTCAAATTGTATTGTTGCCAAGGAAGAGACCTACATGATCAAGTATCTTAGTGATACTTAGCACTACGTTCAGTGGCTCAATTTTTATTCTGTATGAGGTACACAGACATCTTAATGTTGAAGATGTGTCTTGTAAATACATGCTTTCTTTAAACTGTTGCAGGCAGTACATATCTTGGCAAAGGTGAATTATGTTTTTGTTTTTATTAAAGTAAATTAAACTCATAAAATTATTCATTTTTATTAAAGATGGCTTATACAGAAGCTTTTTAGTTTCTGTTTAAACCCTCGGTATCTTTTATTGCTTGGTTTTAGTGGTTTGAGGTTCGGTTACTAAATGAAGTAGTTAAATGGAGGTATTAAAACAAAAACACAAAGCAAACTTAGGACACTAAAATTGATGTGGTGCAGTAAAAATGCTTACTTTATTAGCTTACCTGCACAACTTTTCTCCCATTTCAAATATCCAAGCTCAGCTGAGTGCAACAAATTCATCAGACAGGTATTCAAGACGTTCTTTAGAAATGAGGATGACATATTCTTTTTAGTAGCTTTATATGTGTTTGTAGCAGTTTGGTGATCAGTCTGGTATTTAAACCAAAGTGTGTGAAGTAAATGACCTTGAATGGAACTGAAATGTTCTCCATCAGTCATCATTGATCTTTTGAGCTCTTCAGCTTTTGTGCCCTAAGTTCTAAATAAAAGTTGAAGAAGATGCTGGAGTTGGTTCTCATATGAAAATTGTCTGTGTGTGTATGACCACTCTCTGCATCAGATACACTGAATGCATGTGAGTTACACACATGCACACACACGCACACACAAGTCTTTCGTACGTTATATAGGCCCGGTTGCACCTGTATAATGTGATTACCATCAGTGTTAAATTCTAGATGATTCAATTAAAAAAAATTGAGGGGTTTTATTTAGGACCAGTGATAGATTACAGCTCTGCTTAATTTTAAAAAAAGATCAGCTTGTATTCTTAGACACATTGGAGTTGCAATTTTGTAGTACCAAAATTAAATCCATTGTTACTGTGTGGGTTTTTTTAATACTGAAATTACCTTGTTTTTTAGCATTCCAGATCAAGCCCACTGAGGTAAAAGTCATTTTTCTATGGTCACTTTTCATAGTAGAACCGTACTTCAAAGTAAAATAAAACAAGAGGAGCTCCTTTAGAAGGCTCACTGACACGGTCAATAGTTTTAAAGTTCCTACTTTTAAAACAAATGCTATATGCTTTTCTTTTTGTAAACAGAATGGAGGAAAAAACAATGCCAGCAGTGCATCACTTAAGAGCAATCCTACAATAACCAGTGTGTGAGTGTTTAGTGTTTGGGGACAGGGTGGGGAGGAGGGAGGTATGTAAAACACTTTGGCTTCAGGGTAGCTGTAAACCACTGGGAAGAACACTTGGAAATATGAAGTAGGTAGACTGTTAAACTTACATGCTTGTATGTCGCACATATATACTGTGTTGTGAAACTTCTGCAATCCAGGTCCAACAGGTACCATTTCTATAGTAACCAAACCTCAATGCCATCTGTAGAACATTAGTTTGTGAAAGCTATTTCTTGTACTGCGCTACTTAGAGAGCAAAGACTACCTTTTTGTCTGTTAGTGCACTCTTAAGATGAACATTAATTTTTGAAGTGGAAACTCAGCTTTAACTTTAACTGTGCATACACAGAATTCAAACAATTCATGTTTAGCAAAGGAAAAGTTTATATTGATATAAAAGTAACTTTACAAGAGCACAAAATATAATCTTTAAAGATGCACTTCACCATTAGGTATGACTTCTAACTGTATGAAGTTAGTTTAACAGCTTTGGCCTTGCTGAGATCTTAAATTTATTCAATTCATCTAGAAAGGTTCCTGTGTATGAGAAAGATCTTGGTGACCCTAAACTGGAGTTGAGGAGAGAAAAATCACAATTCTAGATTAACTACTCATTTCTTTTTTCTCTCTTTTACTCAGTCAGGTGTGATCAAAGCAGGTAGTATTCATCTGTTCTTTCAGAGGCTGGCAGAAACAAAATAACGCGTTTATTGGTTTTAACAATGCCTCATCCATTATGCTGTTTGCAAACGTTAGGGCTAGGCATGGGGAAAAAAAATAGCTAGACTGTCAGCAGATACAAGGACTCTGGTCCAATGAAGATAAAATGGTTGTGGCTTGTACCCGTGCTTTGCTTTAGATTTGTCCTCCAGATAAGGATCATATTAAGTTGCAAGAAAAAATTGTAGTGGTGTCACATAATCGTTTTTAAGAAGAATCAGTCTTGTGTCCTTAAGCTATTTTTACAAGGCTGGAATAGCATATTTAGTGCTACCTTCATTTAATGGAGTGTGCCACTCATCTAATTTGAACTTATTCACACTATGTCTCGGAGAACTGCCTCTTGCTGCTTTTTTAATGTCCGTTTCAATTCATTCAGGATATGAAAATTTGCAAGTATTACTTTATATAACTTATGAGCGTGAATTACTTTTCAGAGAAAATTCAGAGCTACATGTTGCTCTTAATTACAATTTGAACATCAAAATAGTCCATCTGCTGCTTGGTATCATCTATAGACCTCCTGATGTTCCTCAAGCTTTTTCTTGTTGCTGATGTTGCTTTTTTTTTTTTTTTAAACTTGCTCTAGGAGTTTCAAAAGATACCTGTTGTCTTAAGAGTATTCAAATACTTGCTATTCAGTAAGACCAAGTATCAGTAGGTTTTTTGTCTCTATCTATATGTACTCTTTTTGAATGTATTAAAATCATCTGCCAGGAAGTTAAGCGTGTAGGTAGATGGCTGGTTTTGTTTTGTTTATTCCCTCTGCCTACCCAATGTTTTCTATGATCTTTGGTAGGAGTCTGTGGGTGCTCAGTGCTTCTGAAGACTGAGGTATGTTTAAGGCTTCTGGTTTTGTTCTAAAAACCTATGTTATTTTGCAAAGGTATATTGGGTATTTATAGCTAAAATTTTTCTTTGGATATGTGGCCCTTCTGTGTATTTTTAAATTAATGTTCATAGTATAGATCATTCTCTTTAACGAAGCTGTGTTGTAGGTCCTTATTGGCTCCCCTCATGAGCAGGATGGGAGAGAGCTTGGGATACGTGATTCTCTTCTGACAACTACAGCTAGGACTTACACATGGGAAGTGTTTAATTTACTAAACCGTCGAAAGTGAAGAGCAGCTAGAAAGAGGGTTCTCATCACCTTCCTACCTTTCAGTTCCCTGAAGAGATCCAACAGATGCCCTCTTGTTTTTGATATATTTAAAAATTGGATTTCAGATGCATAAAGCACAACGTGGCTTCTGTTTTGTATCTTTCTGTAGTGTTCATACGTTACATTGTATGCTGTCTACAGTAGTACAGTAGTAGATCACTTAGCAAAAGAAATTGTTTTCAACTTAAAATGTTCAAATATTCTTGATATCTTTATTACTGTTCATGACAGTAGCTTGTCCAGAGAGATGAGAGAGCAGAGTTTTAAATACTCTTTGACTTCAATAAAATAAATGTGCTTTTATTAGTATCTATTGTTGGTCTGCCTGCACCTGGTGATACCAGTGGGATATAACAAATTCTTTATAGTGCTATAAAACAAAAGCTACCTGATTAACTACTGGTGTAAGCCATATCTTTTAGAAGTGACTTTCCTCTATGAATTGCAGTAAGTCTTAAAAGTAACTTCTAATACTGCGGACATTTGACATTTAATGCAAAGTTTCTTCTCCTTCTCCTCAAACAAGGTAGCTGAGTTATGCTCCCAAGACTTACGGAGTGACAAACTTTAAGGTTTTTGCTTTCTTTGTGGAAGAAACACTTGTGCATCTTTTAATCTGTTTCAAGCCAAAATTTAAATTTAAGGTTGAGTTCCACAGTAGTGTGAGTCTGAAAGAGACCAGTAAAAATGCAAGACTTTTTTACTTTAAAGTTTTGTCTTATCAAATGCGAGTTTGCCAAATTTTCTTCATCTGCTACAGATTAGGTATGCCATTGTTGCTGCCTTGTGGCGGCGTGCACCGCGCTACTTAAACACACTGCCTGGAGGTTTATCGCGTCACTTGTTCACATGCACCTCCCCATAGGAGAGCGCAGAGCCTGGTAACAGCCTCATCTGTATCTTGTTAGATTCAATTTGTTATTTTATAATATAATTGATTATATCTGGAAATAAGATCTAAAGTCTAGCTATATTTAAAAAAGCATACTGGCGCTACAGGTATATTCAAGATGAAACTTGGGCATTAAAGTAGTTTAAAGTATATCTTACGTTGATGTTTTGCAGACAGACTTTTAAAACTGCCATGTTTATATTTTATATGGGAGAGAAAAACTCTGAATATAAGCAATACTAAATGATTGGGGAGGGGGTTAGTAGTTCAGTTGTGTAGCAGAATAGTAACCAGGGTTGGCTGTGCATTTTTACTGGCTTGTAACTTACAGATGTTTGTTTAAAACAAACGAAAACTAAAGAACCAGTAAGAAGCACAAAACATGCAAATGTATGTATGTGTCAGTCAAGTAGCAGCAGAAGTTAATCTATAACTGTATCATAAGATCTTGGCTGCAGCTGTTGTAAAATTGCTTTAGTGTTCTAGAAAACCTGAATTTTGTACTGCCAACAAGATTTTCCTGGGAGCAGCTTGCTACTTTGCAGGTCAGTCCCATGTTGGTTTGTCAGAGCCTGATATGTTTAACCTCATAAGCTTGGTACACAATCCTCCCTTTCTGTGGAGGAAAGAGTAAACTCAGAGTTGGAGGATTGTGACTGAGCGGTTTTGTTTGTGTTGTGGGGTTTAATTTTCATTTTAAATGCTTATACAAGAAGCTGGATCCATATAAAAACATGAAAAATGTTAATGGGTTAGTGTTTCAAACATGATGAAGATGAACTGCGTAGATATGAGAAACTAACACAGTTGTCCTGTGGTGACTTGCTTGGGACACTTGTCTATGACAAAGCTATTGTATTTGGTATAAGCAATATCCATAAATCTTTTTAGCAAGTACTATACTAGAGATTTATAATCCTTGCAGTCCAGGAAGTAGTTAATGTAGTTCAGTTTTATTATTCTTACTTTTTTGACCTGGAGATCTGGTACTTAGCATTAGTATCTGTAAGATGTTTTGAGTCACATAAATAACCTTATTCATTGTAATGGAAGGAGTATATATTTTTGTTGAGTAAATACAGAGACAGTCGGTAAAGGTAAAGTGTAGAGAGGGAGCAGTGCAAACTGTGAAAGTTCCTTTCAGCCTAGCAATGGGAAAAGCAAGATTTCTAGTTGGATTTACGTTTTAAATTTCTACTATGAACAACTCTTAAATTACCCCTCACTTCCCTTTCTGATGTTTTTACCAATTTCACTGTTTCCCTTGAAATGTAAGATATTTAGGTTAATTATTCCAACTTGATGATGTCTTGACAATTTGCTGTCGTATAGACAGACCTTCCTGAGGAGATTCAAGGCTGTAGTACCTTGAATGAAGCACTTTCCCAGCTTCCCTGTAGGTAAACACTATATGGTGAAAAGTTAGTAATTTGGAAGCATTTGGGGAATGTGGCTGCTTTATCAGTTCTTTCTCACATAAAACTACATAGATTCAAACTCCTGAGCGTTTTCTGTCACTTTCTTTTGACTAGTGTAAGCCAACAAAAAAAAAAAAACAAAGCAAGACTATTCTTACATTGTAAGTATTGTTGGGGGGATGATATCAACAAGTTACAGCATGTTAATCTGCCTTGGGTATACACTTGTGAGAGAATAAACAGGGCTATTCTTTAAGTTGGCAAAAAAGTTTTGTTTCTAGATAAAGTTTGAGTAAAGGATCTTCTGTGGTGTTTCTTATTTTGAAGGCAACGCATGCCCTCATGTGGTAGAAGCTAAAACTGAACTTCTATTCGTAGTTTAAAAATGGAATGTTGTAAGCTCTAGATAATTATTTAGGAGCTTTTTAAAAGAATATTCAAGAGAATATGGTATCACAAAATTCACAGCCTTACCTTGGAATGTCTGAGTGCACACAACTGAGCACAAATAAGACAGTGTGTTTTTTGTTTTGTGTTTTCTTCAAAATTTCAAAGGCACCAAAGGATTAGGGCCCTGACTACTTTGATGTGGACTCTGATGTTGCTGCTGTTGTGTCTTACATAGGTGATGTACAGTTCATAGACTATGAGTACTCTGGATACAACTACTTGGCTTACGATATTGGGAATCACTTCAATGAATTTGCAGGTAAAACTTGGATTTCCAAGGTAAAGGTCAACTGAGTAGCAAAACAATTCACACTCTTGTACCTTACATGCTCTCTGCATATCAGTATAAATATCTATCTGTGTCTGTGTATGTAGTTGTTTATCGGATTGCATCAGAACGTATTAATGTCACTTCCTGCAGGCTGATTATGCCCTCTGATTTTTTTAATTAAGTTCTTTACAAAATATATTTGAAGATTTTGGTTTTTTTAATTTTTCATCTGGGACCTCTTCTAAGTCCAAATAAGTCTTTAAGGAGTAAGTACCACAAGAAGATTCTACACATAAATAAAAATAAATATATATATAATCTTCTCAGATCTTCTGGGAAGAATAGCCAGTGGGCATGAACTGTGATTCAGAATTGGGAATCCTGACAGACATGGCCTGTGGTTGAGTATCTCCAGCATAGGCAGATTTGGAGCAATATACTGTAAAGGAAAAATAGGACCAAAAAGTTACTTAACAGAGATAAGACTTTCAATGCTACCAATACCCTGTGGAGGGGAGGAACAGACTTTTCATAAAGCTTCTTTCTTGGAAATATGAGGTTAATTGGTGACAATGTGTATGTAGTTGGATTCAGCTTTAGATAATGTTGCATATAAGTCCATTTTCATACAAAATGTATTAATATTTGACATCTGTGGGAGGGCTTTTTGGTTCACAGTGCAGATGCTTTTTTCTGAGGCTTCCCTTGACATTAAACATGCTGAATTTCAAAGTATAAATAGAATATGTGTGTGGCTGAAAATATATGCAGGGTAATTCTTACTAAGTTGAATCCTACATGAAAAATTCTTGCCAACATGTAACTAATAAAATCAACTCAAAGTAAAAATACAAATACTTACGTTTGTCCACATTAATCTGTGTGTGGGGCGGGAGCAGTTGACTGCTGTGGTCTGTGGATGTGTGTCGGGGGGTTGTTGGTTGTCTGTGTGTGTGTGTATGTGTGTGTGTGTTTTGTTTTGTTTTAAGATGCTCTGAAGTCCTGACAGGGATTTTTTTCTTCTTTTTCTAGGAGTAAATGAGGTAGACTACAGCCTTTATCCCAACAGAGAATTACAGGAACAATGGCTGAGATCTTACCTTGAGGCCTACAAAGAGTACAAAGGATTTGGTACAGAAGTCAGTGAGAAGGAGGTTGAAGTTCTTTATGTTCAAGTGAATCAGTTTGCGCTGGTAAATCACAATTTGTAGATTAAAATATATCAAATGCTATAGAGAAGACTGCTACTTTATAGACTAGCGTAATTGCCTATATCTTATTCAGCGTGCTGTGGTCTATGAAAGAAAAACTTCCCTAGCCTGTTTTATTTAAATTTTGAGCTTTCTCTTTACTCTTGCTTTTCAGGGAACGTCATGCCCGTTCCTCAAGTGCTGTTTACATATGCATTAAGTGGTCACTGAAATCCATTTTATCTCTGGAATACAGATAATGTTAGGTTTCATAAGGTTATATCTTATGACTTCGTTTTCTAGGCAAAATCATTTCTGGCCAGTTTAAATGAGAATGTGGAGTCTTGTTGTGGCAGGCCTGTTTACTGTGTATGTTTGTCTGTTTCCTTCTGCTCCTCCTTGACCTTTCTCCCTCCCAAGGCTGCAGTGTTTTTTTTTTTTTTTTTTCTTTTTCTCCTTTGAAAAGGCTCAGGTCAAGTTTTGGTGCCTTTTAGTCAGCTTGGCTGCTGATCCCCATTGTCAGAGAGAAAATTAAGCTGCATCTTGTGCCTTAGAGTAGCTATCTAAATTAGCCAGTAAATGAATTGAGTGGCAAGTTCTCCAGTCCAGCTGACCCTTGTAATTGAAAAAGGAAAAAAAAAAAAAAAAGATGGTGGGGAGAGAACAAGGTGTGAACTGATCAATTTGAAAGATTGCAAGTTGGGTTTCCTAGATTTTCTTCTTCTAACATGACTGCAAAAGGCTCTCTCTTGTGTCACATTCTCAGACCATCACAGTCATACCAATACTGTTCCTTCTCATGAAATTTGGCAATTCATTTTTTTAGATTATTTCACATATGGAGTGTTCAGTATGTGTATCCTTTATGCTAAGCCTTTTAAGAAGCAATAGGATTTGGATTTATTTAATGCTGGGTGACTATATTTTAGACTAGCAGCGTACTACTTCTTGCTGTTTAACTTGCCAGATCTCAAGATTTTATGGCAGAAAGTAGCAAGTAACTTTGCCTCAGAATTTTGATGGTGTGTTTTATGAGTCTTCTGTAGACTATTCCAAGCAAAGGACCCAGACAGTATTCAGAAACAAGACGAGATGAACTTTTATCAAGTATTTTTATCAGCTGTTTGTTGGTGTGACAGATCCCTAAGTTGGCCAGAGCTCTTTAGTGGGTCTGCATTGAGTTTATAGTAGTAAGGAGACAGAAGAGCAAGGTAGTGCTTCATAGAGACCTATAACACTTAAGAGGTTAAAAGCCTTTTTAAAGTAAGTTTTCTTTTTTTTTTTTTTGAGTAAAAATAGGATGCTTAGGTTTCTAAAGATAACTTGGTCACTTTTGAGTCTTTCAGTACTGCCTCAACTCCTCTACCTGCAGTGTCTTGGTGGGCAAGTCACTCTTGTCACTTCAGTGACTTAAATTGCAGCAAAAGTGCATGTGTACTGTCCTATGGTTCTTAGGAAGTTTTGTCTTTCCATAGCCTGATGCCTGGCTCTGTGAGTCTGCTCCCTGCTCCTCCTGTCTTGTGTGGTATAAGCTCTCTCCTCTCTGCTGTCAATCTGTCAATTGCAGACTCTGGATCTAAAACGTTAGCTCCCTTGCCCCTTTGCTCTGAAAGGGCTGAGCATATTCAATTTTGATCCTTTGTCAGAGAATTCCGAATGATTTCAGTGCCTTGTCGAAGAAAAAGTAGTGTCCAACAACAGTCAAACATAGTTTATGAACGATAAGTCAAACAAATGTGACATTTGATCACTGAATGTCGTTAAATTCTATATATACTATTAGAAGTAATTTTAAGATACTTGTCTCCTTTTCCAGGAGTTACTTAAAAGGTTGTATGTCTGTATCGTTTCCAAAGCTACTTAGAGGTTCACGTTATCTTTGTAAAGTTTTCCGACTAGTCCTGATCTTGCTTTGCCTGGGAGATGTAACGTGAATTATTATGGCAAAACTGTCTTTTACCCAGCAGCTAGATAGTAAAAAGCAAAATAAGAAGAAACTAAAGGATAACATGCCAAACTCTGCCTAGGAGGACTAGGGCTAAGAAGCCAATTTGGCCTTATTTCAGTCCTCTTTCTGACTATCCAAGTACAGCATAGTAACATAACGCCTTTAGTTTTCGGACAAAAAGCTAATGGTTGCAGTAAGAAAATATTTGATTTCTAGCAAGATGATTTACTAAGTAAGTCTTTACTTCAGAAAATACCAACTTGTTTGCCATTATTCTGTTAGTCTGTATTACCAAGTGTTACTGTAAAATTCAGCTGTCCCATTCACTTAAAGTTAGATTTGCAATTATGTAGGCTGGTGATCTGCTTAAGAAAATTCAGCATTGTTTTGTCAGTTCTAAACTATGGTCATGCTAATGTTTAAGAGGATAGAGTTCTGTTTGGAGAACAGCTCAAGACCTATTTGTAGACTGCACATGGTATACAAATACTGCCAAGCACAAGTTATAATGTAGTTTAAAGTAGAAGGCTTTATTAAGAGAGAACAGACTAAAATTAATAGATGTCGATGTAAAACTACAAACTGCTTACTACCAGGTGAAGTTAACGAAACTAAAGGTAGAGAAGAGAGATTCACACGTGCATATAACAGTTGCAGTTTAAGGCATTTTCAGGCATATGTTCATGCATATGTTGTATGCTTCTGGTAAAGACACATGTAAGTGCAGTGCTGTTACGTGCAAGCTTCAGGAAGCAATTTAGGTAATTACTGTAAGCAGTTATTTACAGAACAGAAGTCTGAAATGTATCACATGTAATGTGGGTGGTCCAGAAATTAAATGCATCTTTCACAAGGAGATTATCCAGCTCCTGGCCATTTTATTTATATATTTATATATATGTCTTGTGTGTGTGTATACACATACATGTTCCAGAGTTTACTAAAGTATACTAACAACTGTATCATTCATGTAACCCGTGGTTCCAATCTGAAACTAAACAAACAGGCGACCTCTTTGGGTTGGAAAAGCAAGTAAGGTTGGATCAGAGGAGACATTTTTGTAAATGCTCATGAAACACAGCTACAGATTGTATCTCTCTGTCCAAGTCGGTAGCAAAGGTGTAATCAAAGGATGTAGGGTTTAAGTCTCAGGGTGTACTCAAAGAATCGAAAGCAGCTTTGGTGTTTATACATACATAAACACACACATATATTGAATGTGTGTGTTTGCATGCATATGTAGCACAATATCAGTCAAAGTTGTTTAATTGATAGCAATAGCAAGGAAATAAAAGTATTCCTATGTACTTTTTAACACAATATATATATAGTTGCACAACACTGTACTTGATTGTACTATTTTACAAATAAAACAACAATGTCTTTCTTTAAAAAGAAATGTAGGAAGTCAGAAGACCTACGGAGACAACCTGATTGCTAGTAATTAATTCTGTAATGCTTGTTGAAAATGTTTTGGTAAACAGATATCAAATAGTTTTACAGAAAGACTGAACGTTTTTTGGAGAGAGTTATCCTGTGGATAACTTTCTCAATATTGTCTCAAGCTAATTGTCTCAACGTTAGAATATATGTTTGTTTTTATATAATGCTAACCTGTTGCTACTAATTTTTTCCTTTAGGCGTCCCATTTCTTTTGGGGATTGTGGGCTCTAATTCAAGCCAAATATTCTACCATTGACTTTGATTTCTTAGGGTAAGTATGCCTGCTACATATAAACGCTTTTTTTCCTGTTAGTGAATTTCATAGAGTCACAGAATAGTTGAGGTTGGAAGGGACTTCTGCCAATCATGTAGTCCAGCCATCCAGCTATCAGAAACTACTAGCTCTGAGCAGCAGACCTGATCTACGTAATCAAAAAAAAAAAAAAAAGAGAGAGAACGTTTGAAGATAGCAAGATAAGTTGTCTGCTTTTTGTTGCTGAAAGTTCTCTAACTTAATATGTGCCTTTGGACTAAAATATATAATATAACATGCCAAAGAACTTTGAGTGGGTTAAACCTGTTTTGTAAGTATTGTTTTTTATTGGATAGACAAAGGCACAGAAGCCAGGTAGGTTGGTCAGTGTGTTCTACTGTCTGTCAGACGCAAGAGCTGTGTTTCTGACCCTGAAAGTCAGGAGACCAGGCTCTCGTACAAAAGAGCTTCTTTATCTCGTGCTGCGTGGGATATTTATTTGAGAAATTCCTAACCTTTTCCTTTTTAAGGAATCTCTGTAATGCCAATGAATACTTGTTTCCATTTCAAGAGACACTGGTTGATGGTTCTGTTTCAGGTCTTGGCATCTTTTTTCTTATATTCCTTTACCACAACAAGCAGAGGAATTTATCCACTGGGGACTGGGAGAGGTGATAAAATTAATCATTTTCACTCAGTATAAGAGTTTACTTCAGTTTGGAGTTCTTTTGCATTAATGACTGAGGCAGGTTACTCGGCTTAGTTGTGTTATATCATTTTGAAAATGAGTTTGTACAGAAAGTTAATTCCCCCCTGCCCCAGCTGTGTGACTAATTGGTCTCAAGTAGAAGTACTTGTTAGTAACCACTAGATGGCACAAAAAACAAGGGAAAGCACAGTGTGATTGAAAACAAATTTTTGTTGCAGTTTTCAAATGAGTTTTGAAACAGTATTCTCAATAAATTGGCTCAGACTTTGGGGAAGTGCAGCTATCCATTCACTATCTTTGATAATCCTGGAACAGTAACTGTTCTGCAAACTTGAGCAAGCTGGGAGGGTGTTCTGAGGAATTACCACAATATGGTTGCTCTGTTCTTAATTTCTTCCTTTAGCAGCTGCTCTGGAGGGTGCTGGGTTAGGTGGACTTCTGATTAGTCCTAGTACGGCTTCATTTATGTAAGGAATTATTTGCTCTTAAGCTCTCTCTCTCTCTCTCATTAGGTATGCGATTGTTCGTTTTAACCAGTATTTCAAAATGAAGCTGGAGGTCATGACATTAACTCTTCCTGAGTAATGAAGAGGAAGAAACTTACCAAGTGGATAGACAACCCCTGAATCTTCTGAGAACAGATACTGGAAAAAAGCTAAACACTTGTTAAAGTTCTGTAATGCTCACTTGGTGGTTCTTGCTTTATAAATAATGCCTCTAAACAGTCCTTCATTGTTAAATTTAATATGAAGAGCATACCTACTGCTGTTGATATAAAATGGATTAGAAACTTGCTAAATCTATAAAAAGTTGTAGAAATGGCAATTTAATCCTTTTTTGTAATTTAACATATGTTGTATGTGAATTATTTATTATAAGTTTAACATGATTCCATTGCTGCTTTCATCAGTTTTTGTGAAAGTTGGGTGCAGACGGTGAAATTGTTCCAAAGGATTTGTTTAACAACTTATTTTATTGAAGTTGCGTTAACTTATATGAGAGAAATACGTGGTCAGAGAATATTAATCTGTTAGACCTGTACAAGCAAATATTGGTGATAATATACTCTTGAGATACTGATGACCAATATGCAGTAATTGAGGGGGAAAAAGGCTAGGATCAAAAAAAAAAAAAAAAAAGTAGCTTTCTGTATCGCGGTACTTCTCTTTAGTGTAAGAATCAACCTGTTTGCTGAAATGGTAAATAGCATTTTGATTTTCCTTCTTGGTTTGTTGAGCTGTAGAAATGTGAAAGTTCTTTGAGAATGTGTACCGTCAGTGTTAGATGTACCATCTTTAACTTCTGTGGGAAAGCTGCTTGCTTATTAAGAGTACTTTTTTTTTTTAACAAAAGACCACTATTCCAAAATCTTTATTCCTTTTTGAAACTTGATTCAGAAATGAACACTATTCTGGTCTCTGCATTTGATGTACTTCAGCAGTATTGAACAGAATGGACTATTGAACTGAATATTAGTAAACAGAGATCCTGTTGCACTGGGAAGCAAGACACTTAGGTTTACAGTTCATGTATTGTTGACGTCTTTCCTTCTGCTTTGTCATCTTGTAACCTTGGGTTCTAGTCTTAAGTGCTTGGTCTTGTAGTTGCAGGTTCTAGTATGTTCTACTTTTTCTTCTGTGGTAGCAAATTACTTTTCAAAGTCTCCAGTTCAAAAGATAATATGGAAATGTATATGATTTGAACAAAGGAGCTTTGATCATCACACACTTAATATTTTCTTATTTTGTAAAGCTATTATACCAAGAATGGTCTGGATTGCAAAATGTGAATTGAAAGGAAAATGTTTACTTAGCAAAATAACATGTAAGTTTAGGAGTGGAAAAGAGGCTTTAAATCTCAAACAAACAAAATCAACCCAACAATGCAGTGTGGGGTTGGGCAGGCATATACTGAACCCTGATTATACTCTGAAAAACTTTGCACTTTGGTCACTTAAGTGCCCACATGTACAAAGTCTGTGTGTGTGCATATACACATGTAAACACAAACTTACCTGAAGAGTAAATATTGTGGGGAGCCTTTTGTACAGACTCCGGCAAAGATATTTATTCAAAATTGCTTTAGAGCACGTTGTCGTTATGTGTGTGTACATGTACATATGTATACATATATACACGTACACATACATATGTATGTATACACACACATACATCTGTGCTTTACAAAAGCTTGAGTGATTCAGGACAAAGAAAGCAATTGATGTGAATGAAAAATTTTCACCTTGAAAGTCCATTTTGAATGGCATTCTGTTATTTTACAAAAGCAAGATTTATTGGATTTTTTTTTTCCCCTCTTAACTGGTTTATATTCATCTCTGAATGTTTCCAACTTTTATTTCCTTCAGTCAAAACCTTAAAAGTTTAATAAAAAGGGGAGAATTTGGATTTTTTTTTATAACTTGAAAACTAGGTAAGTTTTCCTTTAGCATTTGTTAGTTGGAAGCTACTGCATTGGACAAATTCTCTTACTAGTTAAATAGAAACAAATAGCTAAAATTGGCATACTTTCCTTGTGTAGCAGTCATCAAGGATGTTGCTAGAGCTCATGAAACAGCACTGAAGACGTTTATTTTCTGCTTTTTCTCCCTGTAGATGTGATTGACAAACTCACAGTGAGTAATTGCTTGCTTTCTTGGTAGTCCATTTTAAGTTCAGCAAGATCCCTTTGGAAGTAAGGATGGTAAAGAGTTCTAGAACTCAATGACTGTTTTCTTCAAGTGGTGACTTTATTTCTGGCAGTGTTGCTTTGTATTCATAAAATACTTAAAAGAGGCTGTGAAATTGACATAGTCTTGGGAAATCCAACACTTGGAGATGCTGTCCAGCTTTCCCAACAGTTGGTAATCTACATTCCCTCTTCAAGTACCAGTACTCTTTAAGTTTGGAGTTAGTGTTATTTTTTCAGTAGTATTTGGTTTATATAGCATAAGTAGCAATAACTCTGTAGGAGTGGAAACTTGCTCCTGCAGAACCAAAGCTCTTCATGAGTGCAGCTCATCTCCTTTTGTGGTGTTAAGTTCCACTGAATCCCATAAAAGCACTTTGAAGCAGACAGTAAATACTGCAAGCTTTTCCTGAGCCACTTTGAAGAAGCACAAGGATTATCACAGGTTACAGTGGTCAACTTTGCAGTACTGATAGAGGTTTTCATGTTGCATGCTGAAATTCGTTTTACACACTTAAATACTGCTTTGCATCAGCTTTCTTTCAAGACAAGTACAGATTAAAACAATTCCTGATAGAAGTTATTCTGAGGAAGTACTGTAAAACACCATCCAGAATGAAATGCCAGTTTTCTTGAGTCTTGCTCCACATCAGTTTTAGCCAGTAGCACTTGGCTATTCTCGCTTCCTAAAGAATATCTGCAGATGTGTTAAGTTTGAAGCAGTAGCTTGCAATAGCAGTGCAGTGTATAAGCTAGCTTGAAACTGTGAATACAGGACATCCTGAATGTAAGTTAGGTACTAAAGCACCAAACTAGAGAATGCGTACTTGTTTCAGTTCATTTATCTCAGTCTTTTTATAGCAACTTTTAAGATACTTGAAGGAGGACAAAAAAATGACTGAGCTCTAGAAACATCCCTTAGTAGTTCTGACTGACTTGCCAAGAAGATACTCTGTTGCCTTTATGTTAAGCTAAGGGCATGAATGCCAAAATTAATAATTCTTTCTGTAGTTAAACGTATATTGTAAATATAAAGAGGATTGCTAATAATGGCATTCATGCATAAATAGCATCAAGTCAATAGACCATAGTGGCCTGGTTGCTTTTGTAAAGCAGAACAGTGTGAATTTTTTTCTTCTCATTTCTGCAGTCGGATCTGGTTAATCTGTGTATAATTTCTTAAAGCATTTAACCATTACAGATTTAGAAATGATAACTAATCTGATCTCACGTAACTTTTAAATTCCTTCACTTACAGTTCTTAATTTGCATTTTGAAAGGAATTATCAGATTCACATCCACCAGGTCTGACTGTATATGTATATACAACAGTGTAAATAACCATTTGTAAATTAGTGTGAATTGTACTGTATCTTGCATTTATGGACTTGTGTATTGCATTGTATTCTCTCCTATTTTGTAGAAATTTTGATGTAAAGAAGAAATCTAACTCTGTGTGCTGACTTCTTTTGTTAACTTGACCTGTAACAGAGCATAATAGTTTTATGTTAAGGTATCCATTTATAGCCATGGGCATCCAATGTCTTTTCCATTAGCTTTTTTTTAACATCACACTCTGGGGAATGATTCTGCGAATAAAGGAATTTATACAATGATAAGATTAAGAGAAAACCTGTTCTAATATTAGAGCAAGCTAAATATCAGGGGAACATGTAGTACCTGTGGTATATGGAAGGCTGTTAAAATTGATTACTTAACGTCCAAAAAATTTCTCATATATCCTTGAATGTTGGTAACTTCTAAACAGAAACATGTAGAACTGAAGCACTCTTTTAAGGAGCGTGCTCTGGTGTTGAAAGCAATTGAGTTAACTGTGATAGAAGTCTCCTGACTTAAATGGTTTTGGTGGATATAGCCTTAGAATAGGATTAGCTACTAACTTTTAAATACTTGTAATAAAACTGCAAATCGCTAAAATAGTTCTAACTGGCCATTTTCCTCTGCACTGGAATTATTGATAGTCCCTTTAGACTACTTGAAACTTCTCTGAGGTATTTTTCCTCCTCTTCTGCCCGCCCCCCCCAGTTCATTAGAGGGGAACGTGCTAGGACTATTAAGCTTGGACTATAAAAACTTCTTCCCAGATCTGACCATCATTACCTACTTTCTTTGTTGGAAATGGTGTTCTCCTTTAAGTATATGACTTCTGGTAAGAAGTGTCTTTTGGTGTAGGAAGTTTGTTTCTGAAGAGGCCTTTAACCCTGGAAGTGAAGCATAGACAGTTGTTTTCCCTAAATGCCAGATTAGATACAGTTATTGTTGCCTTTCATTGTCTGTTTGCTTTTAAACTTTATCATAGTGTCCTTCAGGCCGTTACTCAGTTCTTGTTCACTGCTGTGTTTAATAATATTGCTGGAAGATACTGATGTGCAAATCTCGTTGTCCATCCGGTGAATTGATCTTGGTGCAGTTTGTACAGTCTGTCAGTTTTACCTGCGTCTGATGAACGGTACACGTGCTCACCAGGGCAGACACTTGAAGTTACAAGGGTCCTGGAAAGTAAATTTCTGTCAAAGAAGTATTAGTCAAGAGGAGGGATGGGGTCAGTAAAAATAAGTAAAAGTGAATAAGTCACATGGAAGTTCAAGCTTAAGTTTTTCCATGTGACAAGGTATTGAATATGCCTTCTGTTTACTTGCATAGTTTAAGGACGAGCAAATTGTAAAGAAAGACAGACTTGTTTCAGAATGAAGTTGAGCTTTCTTTTAAAGCAGTTGGTAGATAACAAAAGCTTACAAAATATGCTTTATCACTCCTACTGAAAGAGATCTTTAAATTAGGTAACTGCTTTTCTGATTGCATGCTTTTTTCTTTCTTTTCTTTTTTTCCTTTTAATATAACCGACTGGAATATAGTCTCATTTGGGGTAGTCCTCCCTGTAGCTTGCAGAAAAGGTTGACTGCCTCCTGTCTATGAGTGTGAGGTGGCTGTCTCTCCTTTTTGGGTTTTAATGTTTTTGTATTGGTTAATATTGTCTTAAATACCTTTTGAGGTGTGCTAGAGTACTAAACTATTGGAATTAGCTACTGTCTCCTGTCCTCTCTTCCACACCAGGCATGTTGTAATTACAGCAGCAGAACAGAAAGCATGTGATCAGACTTCTACTTAATATAAGGCTGGTGTTGAGCAGCCCTGCAGCTATTTTTGCTTGCCCCCCCCCCATCTTTTTTTAGTACAATAGGCTAAATGCCAATTGTATTCACCGGTTGTGAAAGATATGAGAAGTCCTGACCTTGATCTTGTGCAAGGTAGGTGTTCTGCTGGCCAACCACACAAGCTTAAAGAAAGGGGCTCTCAGCAGTGGGAAAATGCCCAGGCCCAGACGCCATGTGTCAGAAGAAACCAACCTCTGTGACCTATAGACCTCTGGAATGGAAAGGAAGATGTGTAAATTGTTTGCATCTGCCAATGGTATGGTGCTGCTCTTAAATGGCGTGGTGAGACACTGGTAATAGCACTGTCTGATTTTTAAGTGCTTTTTCCAAAGGATCTGATCTGTAAAGTTTGAGTCAAAGTGACTAGGAAACCAGCCAACTTTGGGGGAGAGAAGAAACGTTCTAAAATTTTACTTTAAAAAAAAAAAAACTGTGTGCAGTTGATTAATTTGCCTAACTTCAAGTGTATGTTTGGCTTTTTTCATGTTTAATCATGTAGGTGTTCTTGCACTAGATTCTCTGACAATAGTGGGTTGTTTTATTCTTTTTAAGTGTCAAAAACTGAATGAAATGGGCCTGCAGTTACAGAGTACTCTGAAGTTGGAACGGGTGGGCACGGTTACCAGAGACTGTGGAAATTAGAAATCGGGTGCAAGTTTAGAAAGCATACAAGTTACTTGAAATCTAATCAACTTAAATGCTGAAATAACTTGAGGTACTGTACTGTCCGACCTGTTTTTGTGGTATTGCACCTGCATTCAAAGTGACTAGGAAACCAGCCAACTTTGGGGGAGAGAAGAAACGTTCTAAAATTTTACTTTAAAAAAAAAAAAACTGTGTGCAGTTGATTAATTTGCCTAACTTCAAGTGTATGTTTGGCTTTTTTCATGTTTAATCATGTAGGTGTTCTTGCACTAGATTCTCTGACAATAGTGGGTTGTTTTATTCTTTTTAAGTGTCAAAAACTGAATGAAATGGGCCTGCAGTTACAGAGTACTCTGAAGTTGGAACGGGTGGGCACGGTTACCAGAGACTGTGGAAATTAGAAATCGGGTGCAAGTTTAGAAAGCATACAAGTTACTTGAAATCTAATCAACTTAAATGCTGAAATAACTTGAGGTACTGTACTGTCCGACCTGTTTTTGTGGTATTGCACCTGCATTTTTTTCTCGTGTGTTGAAGTTTTTTTTTTTTTTCACATAGCAAAGATCCATGCAAAACACAAAACCAACTACGGAGGAGAAACGTGAAAAATGTTATACACAATGCTGTAAAATGCAGAATAAACTGGAAAAAGTAGATGCTTTTGATGGTAGTAATTTTTAAGTATTATCAAAAATGGTAGGTGTGTAAAGTCTTTAGTGTGTGAAAGCTTGCTTTTTTGTTTTTTGTTTTTGTAGAAATGTTCCTTTTAACACTTGTATCTCAACTATAGTCTGTGGTAGTATAATGCTGCTTTGTACACAAGTGCTTTGAATAGTCTCAGCACTGAGAATGTATCCAATCTTTCTTAAACGTGGCTTAAGTAGATGCATTGGTTCTGTCTCAAACCTCTTAATCCAGCTATCTAAAACCCTTTAAATACTTACGGAAACAGGGCCATATTGTATTAGGGATATATTCCATTTTCTGTCTTTCACTGCATTTTGGGGAGGGGGGTGTATTTTTTTTTTAAACATTTGAGTTCATTTATGTCTTGTGAATAAAATAAGTCCAATTTAAAAATAAGCCTTTATCATCTTCCAGTACTGTCATCCCTCCAAAGACCTCATGACCTTTCTTGTATAGTGTGGAGTTTAGCTGCATCATTTATCATTTGGAGTGAATTGTATTTCTTTTGAACTAAATGTTGAAGCTATATTATAATAAGGCCTTCTACCACTGATTAAATGAAGTAATGTATCTTTCAAAGAGATTTATATTGTGTAAATAATTTAAAGCTGCAACAATAAAGTTGGTTTCTAACTGCACTGTTAGCATCTATTGTGATGATTTTGCTTTCCAGAGATTTTAAAAACATTTAATATAGAATAGTTCAATTTTCTTAAAGGCTTTTGATTACTATCAAAATAAACACCTTTTCCAGGGTTATAACACATCTATAAATAAAATACTTTGAGATAGTATTTGGCTTGCAGAAAGTTAAGAGTTAATTTGTTTGTTTTGCATATTACATGTAGACTTGGTTATTAACAGCAAAAATTTCAAGGCTGAGAGGCAGGGACTAGATGAAATACAGGTGTTGGTAGGGTTTACTGCTTTTGAGAAATCAAGGAGAAATATTTGTAAGGTTTGGGCTAGTACACAGTATTTTTTTGTGCACGCCAAGAGCCGTGTTAAATGCACAGGACCCATTTTACAGGCTGATCCATGATACTGAAGAAAGGCTCTGCATTCAGTGCTGGTGGCATGGCATTAGAAATTTGCATTTGGGCTTAACTGAGATGTTAAAATGTATGTCAGTAAAATGCTACTTCCTGTTGTACACCTTAAGGAAAATGACTTTGCCAAGATGCGGATTTTACTTGGGATTGGTTTATCCCTGTGCAACTGCTCACAGTGAATATTATTGAGGAAAACTTGTGTCAAAGTCTACCTTCTATTACCTGCCATGCTTGTCACTGGAAATAGGGCTTTTCTGCATGCGCTGAATACAAACTTTTATTTTTCTTAGTGTTATTCCTGGTGGGCCTCATTTAAAACATAAAAGAGTTTGTGTATATCCAATAAGGGACAGATATGCAAATAAAAATTTGTGCTAAGTGCAAATACAGACTAATTTGGGGTCTAAAAAACCATGGTCCGGCATTGTGGGAGACTGAGCACTTACATCTTTGCTTTAGAAGGCTTTTATTTATAATAATGCCTTTTTAATTTGTATGGCCTTCACCATTTAACTTGCTGATTGTTTTCTAGAAGTGCAGTGATCAAATGGTAATGCTCTATATGCACAACTTCTGTGATCTGGCATCACTGCCTCTCCTTGGCCTAGACACAGGAGTTGTTATTTCCATGGGGCTTTTTACTGCCAAAGTACTATTTCTGAGACAAGATGAATAAGTGAAAGACAAGTTTTTCTATTTAATAGAAAATACACAAGCTATAACTGGAGTTAAAGGTTTACTTGTCCCTACCAAATTGGTCATTAGAACCAAGAGCCAGTGTTTCTGTGACTTCCTCTTCTGAAATCCTCAGAGCTATCCCTAAGTGCTAAGTTGTGGCCGGTCTCTGCTTATCTGTGGTAATTGCAGCGAACAGGAGATCTCCTGTGCTGATGCACTAATCCATAACATGGAATCTTTCTCCCAGGTAAAATCACTTCATTCACAGCTTGGCCTCATTTTCGCAGAAAATGCAGAGCAAGCCTTTACTGAGCTAGAAGTTGTCAGTGGGAAGTAATGAATAAATGTTTGTAGGCCGGTTCGGGAAGTACGGTTTTGAAAAGGGCATTTTCCTTGAGATACAGAGCAAACTACAGACGTATAATAGGGAAAACAATGACATGTAGTGAATTTTAATTCATATTCTGTTTAAGCATCAATTATATGAAATGTGCTCTCATAGTGTAAAAAACAAAAACAAAAACAAAAACCACAACCCTGTTTGGGTGAAATCAAAATAGCACATTTACCATAAATGACAATAGAAAGCTAGTTGCCATTGTACAGGATGCACATAGAATTATGTAGGATATATTAAATAGAAGACTTTATTCCCATTAGCGTTACAGAATCTAGTAGTGTGAGCGTGAACTGGAATCTAAGTGCATCGACACATGTCGACTACCTACAGGGTACTTTAAGAATCTGCACTTGCTACCAAGGAGAAAGTGTGAGCTCTCTTCTTTTTCTTTAAAATCTCCAGTTTACTTGTATTACTGACAAGCAGGGGCAAAACCATTTCCTTCATCAGACGCTGGCTTTGAGACGGTAAATGTGATCCTCTTGTCGCGTATTCTTTTGTAAGTCTTCCCTGAGGCTCTAGGCTGAAGCTGCTAACCATGACTTGTTTCCTTTCCAGCACCTAATGTTCCTCTCTGTTATCCTGGAGGTCGTCTTCATCCCACCTTCTTGTAGGGCTATTTAGAATAAAGCTGCTTGTCAGGTTGTTTTTTTAAGAACGTGAAAAGAGCAATACATAGATTTCTTCAAATGCTAGCAGCAACCTAAGAAATCAAAGGTGCTGTCTACTTCAGATGACTTGATGACTAAAAGGCAACTCAGAAGCACAGCTCTTACTTTACTGGGGTTACTTTCTGTCCGCACCTTTATTTGTGAAATAAAAAAGGATGGCAAACTCCAGCACTTACCCGCAGGTGGCAATGGAGCTGCAGACTGCGTCTTATTGTTCAAGAAGCTTTTCAAGACAACATATTTTTGTAGTGCAGCATGTCATACATTGAGTTAAACAGGAAAAAGGGTATTCTTTTATCTCTCAATGAGTTGCAGCCAAGATCTGTAATTGCCTTGCTCTTAATGTTGCGTAACTGTTAGCAAGACTCAAGCCAAGCATTAATGAATTTCATCAGAACTTCATTTTTTAATGAGCATCATTAATCGTTAGTCATGCGTGCTGCAACCTACACTTCTCTAAAGTGAGGGTTTGCCAATTGTGTTGCACTATAAAAACAGCAGCATATTTTCCCCAGATTTCATCAGTAAAATAACAACAAGAAAAAAGAATGTGCAGGGAGGAAGACAAAAGCCTCATTTATTTGACCTTTTAAATGCTTGAGATGATCTCTGAAAGTTGGTCTGAGGCATCCATCAGCTTGTGAGCAGCTGCTGCCCTGCTTCCTCTCTGGGCTGTTCTAATAACGTTCTTGTGCAGGCTGCTGCAAAATGAAACGGGTCTCACACACAAAACTTAGCAAACCACAGTGTTGATCCGGCCTGTTAAGGTGGAATTACTGGGCTCTCACTGGCTCTTGTTACCGACTTCCCAAAGTTTTTCAGGCAAAACTCTTTTTCAGGCTTGGAGAAGTGATGAATAGCTTTAGCTGCTGCAATCCCCTTGATCAAGTATTCATTCTTTGGGGTTCGGGTACCAGACGTTTCTAAAAGCTGAACGAGGAATGCCTGGTCCTGACTGTCCCAGCACGCCTGTCCCCGGTTAGCAATTCAGATAACTAGTGAAGAGTGTTTTGTTTTGTTTTTTCCTGCACCAATACACCTAGCAACCTCTTTGTGCTTCCTCTATAATCAAGTGAAGCTGGCTAGCTTATGCATGCAGGTGAATTAAGTTGTCATGTGGACGTCAGACTGTATTAGGGCTTTTTGAGAAACAAAAGCTTTCTGCTGTTGTGTATGCTAGAGATAGCCTGACTAGTCAACATGAGCCCAAATAGTGTAATCTCTATCTGCAGATACTGATTTGTACCAAGTTTTTAGAAGCAGATTAAAACAAACAAAACTAATTGTAATGCCACTAATAACAGTACTGCACAATAGGAAACAGTCTTTTCTGCATCTTATGCACTAGCCAAGAAAATATATTCCTCTTTTCTTAACACATACAAATGTTTGTGGTTACAGTGGCTGAGTTGTCTAAGCTACTGATGTATAGAGGGAAACGTAAAAGAAGACATCTTCAATTGCAGGGGCTCATAAAGAAGAGTGCTGCTGTGAGAAAAAAGGAGAAAGTGCCATGGAGAGAGAGGAGAAAAATGAAGAAAAGGATATGGCAGAAGAATGGAATACAGAGGGGAAAAGACAGGAAAAAAAGAGCTATTAATGAAAAAAGTGTACTGGCATGGGGGAAAGTGGAGGGCTCATGCAGAAGATGAAGGAATGAATGAAAGGGAGCAGTCAGGTTGGTGGGGAGG